TTTCCAGTGCTAACCGTTTTACTGGTGCGTGATTCATCTAATGCACCTGTGGAGCTCTGGAGCATCCAGGCAAGTTTAAATTTAGACACTGCTGGGGCGAAAGATTGTTAATAATAATTTGAAATTGTGAAAATTTAAACTTCAAACGCTACAATCTGACGTTTGTTGCACCAAGCACTACGCAATCTCCTAAAATTTAAAAAATTTTTGAAAATGGCACTCGTTATCCATTTTTGCGATTCGTACTTTAAAATAACATCTTAAGAAACTTGCTTTTAAATATACTATCATGTATTCTAATTGGCCCTTTTTAAATGCTCTACAAGCATTTTTGTTTCTCCGTTGCGACGTTGCCAGGTTATTTCAATTTATTTTTAACATTTCTGCTGCAGTAGTTTATACATAGGTAAACAAAGGTATGTGCTTTGTGTCCGTATCAATAAAACTGAGTTTTACTTTTCAGAAAAAATCTAAAATTTCAAACAGAACATCCTGTATTATGACAACATAAGGGTGACAGTTTAAAAATTTATGTGGATATCTTTATTTTGTGACAATTGTTTCCCACAGTTATAAATTTAATAAATTGTAATAAGATCTAATATCAAGGACCAGCTTAAATTAAAACACATCTTAGATTACTATATCAACAAAGAACAAAATTGGATCAATTTATCATTACAGGTATACATATAAATTAACATTTTCCTCGTGCCTGTCAAATTATTATGGAAGTTGATTTAAAAGTGTACCCACCATGTGGTGTGTCGCTATGTGAATTCTACTTTTTATCAAACTTGTAATTTAAAACGGGTTTGGGATCTCAACAACCAAAAGGAACAGAATATCACATTAAAAGGTTTTTATTACATATCTGAAAAATCGGAACTGCTTTGCCCTTTATGAAAAGTGTTCAGTTCAAAGAAGCAATTCTTCAAGATTAGAATAATTATATTTTTGAAACGGAATTTTTCATTTACATCTAGCAATTAACTTTGATGAGATTTCAGAAGCCCTGAAAAAGCTGAAACCCAACCAGAATAGTGGATCTGACAATTTCCCGTCAGGTTTTTATAAATTTATTTTTTATCTTTAGCGAAACCTCCTTGCTTAATTTTTAACCAGTGGCTGTTAAGTTGTGTCAATTGTCCACTTACAGTTATGTTTCATTTTTGATAATATAGTTGATCAACAACACGGATTCGTTAGGAAACGTTCTACTGTAACCAATTTACTCAATTTTGTTAATTATGTATATTACCTCTGTATTAGAAAATGGACATGAAATTCATGCTATCTACACTGATTTTAGTAAAACATTTGACACAGTAATCTAATAGAACCCAACAAGTAGAACTCATTAATAACATTTATTTTGAAATATATCACGATGCATCTGGGGCGCCTCAGGGTTGAGTTTTCAGTCGTATTTTATTTCTCAATTTTATAAATGACTTGAGTTCTGATATAGAGCGGAAATATTTGCTTTTTGCCGATGATTTAAAAACGTAGTGTGTAAAAAATATAAACTTGAGTTGCAGAGTGACATTAGTCGTCTGTTTAATTGGTGTGATCGCACCAGGTGGTATGTTATTAAATTAAAACAAATGTAAATCAGTTAATTTAGCAGAAAGATGGTTGAGCTAGTTTGATTTTGTAGAATTAATAATGTTACTGCGTCTACAGTTTACCCAGTTCGAGAGCTAGGACCTTATTTAGATTGAAAGTTGAACTATATGGTATGTTGAGACAAAGACAACAGAGTGCTGGGATGTATTAAAATATGTTCCAAAAATTTTACCTCAGTGAGAATACTTATTGTACTACGTTGTTCACGTATTCTTATTAGAACAATTCTGGAGTATTGTTGTATAGTACGGTGCCCACACTATACTACTCATATATCCAGAAATGAGACCACACAAAATAAATTTTTGAAATACTTATGTTGATCTGGGCTTAGGTGTCAAAGTGTATATTTTTGAAAAAGAAATAACAAATTTTTGTATATGCTTTGTTTTTATTGAACAATTTTGTTACAAAATATTTAACATATTGCCCCTTGAATAACTTGCTAACGGTGGTTAACAGTTTTTGCAATTGTCTTAATTTTTTTAATGTATCGCTGACCGTGCTCAAACGAAAACTATTAGTCATTCTAGCAGAGTGATTACCTGACCTGTTGTTTGCTTTATTAATTATTACATTCTACTTTATTATTACTGTTACTGTTACAATATTCACGTATTGTATTTTTCTTAAGGTACATTTGTAAATTTTTATGTTGTAAATGCAAAGCTTTTTTGCGTTATTAAATGTAAATTTATGTTAGAAATGTTACAAAAAAAACCCAAATTAATATCCTACGTTTTAATTGTCTATTGTTAAAAAACATTTTATTTTAGATCCAGGATATAGAAACTAAAAGTTATGAGTAGTTTCTATTTCTTAGAATAAAATTTTGTGTATGCCCTGTTTACAGCTTAAGGCATGTTAAATTATCTAATTTATAACTACCATAAATAAAATTCTTTGCATTCTTACAATGTACGCCAATTCCAGCAGATAACTATAATTTTCCTTGTGTCAATACCAATTCTTAAATAAAATTAATAGTTGCTTCAAGGCCATTATTATTCCACTAGAAAAACACAATGCTGGCTAATCCAAGACTGATTTTTTTCCTTTATGTAAAGTAGTCCAATTTGTCTTACTCACTCACATCTCATAACTCCGATGTTCTTATACTGACTGTTATGCATAATGAAACTTAAGCGAGTTATTCCGAAGAGGAAAAATGTACCTATTTACATTACAATTACTTCTGAAGGTGAACGTTTCCAAATGAGATATCTGTCAGTCAAAGATTATAAAATTACATTACATGTATTCCAAGATAGTTGAAAATCATGTTTCTATCTTTTGTTTCTTTGACGTCGGAGCTACTTCAAGGCAGGTTTTAATATATCGATAGACAGTTAAGATGTTATTAACACTCATCGTGGTTGTTTATTTGTTAAATTTATTATTCAGCATTAGGCTTGATCAAAGAAGCATGACAAAGTGTTTGAAGTCGTATAAAATTACAAATTCATATGCAAGTATTGCAAAAATATGCAAATTTCGAGAGGACAAGACAAAATTAACTGTTTGATGACAGCTTAAAGTTTATAAAAAAATGAAATGCTAAAATGTTAAATGTTCGTATGAATGTTTTCACTGTTGAAGACACATATTGTTTTGTTAAGTTTTGGGTTACACAGGTGCTGAAAATGGGAGTGAAATTGGGCATTGGACACAAATGGTGGTATATAGCGAAGGTACGATTATTGTAATATGTGAAGTGTGTCATGGTATTTGCGGTGAGTTACTGAATTGGTATACCCAAGATTTCTTGTCGGTCAATATTTACATCAATTATTTAGAAAAATAAAATAAAATAATTCCTAAACAGTAAGACATAATTTTTTTTAATTAATTTTTGAATACCCCTCTAAAAACAATGGCACAACAGTAGAGCTGTTTTTATTCAATTAAAATCTTTTTTTTTCTGTCATACTATACGTTTTTGTGATAAGACAAAAAGCACAGTTAATTAAAAAATTTAAATATATACGATACTTTTTGTATTTAAAAAATATGTAGGTATAGAGTGTTTAGTTTACACAAATGATAACAATGATAAAGTGACCTTTTAATATGGGCCAAATGAACATTTTGTGCATGTATTAATAATATAATATTTTTTTACAAAAAATTTACTGAACATTATTATTTTATCTTCCGTTTTTTCAACTAAAAATTATTACGGCAAAGAATTCCAGATATTTCAGAAATAAAAAATACAGAATGAGGACCAAATTAATAATCGCGTAGTTTGAATGCAAAGTGATACATTTTTCCCTGCGAAGGGAAGTTAACGCACGACATGAAGGAGAACGCCGTTAAGAGTTTTCTTCAACCAATAGACACGCTTTACGAGCCAGACTCATATAACATTTTCTCTACAGTTTAATGGCTGCTTTTACAGTTTTTGACTTGTTTATTCTCTTTACATTCTGTTCTAAATTTGTAATAAAAATATGGACAAGGGAGATTCCACTGATTTTTCGAAAATAGTTGAATTTTTTAATTCCAAAAAACATTTATTATGATAATTGGATCGGCAATAGAGGCCCTAGTTGATGACTACCTCGTAGCCCCTAGATTATTGTAATAAATATACCTATTGTCGGGTGGAAACTTGAAAATATGTGGAAATTTTGGCCCTATATACGGAACACTCTTTTAGACGTTGTTAAAAATCCACTGATTGATTAACGCTTCAGAAAAACCCAAAGTGACAGTGTACTTGTATCTTAGAAAATGTCAGTTAAAAGCGAAAGCAAATTCTTACGTGCTCCTTAATTTGTAGAAAAAATAATTTTAAAAATTTGTATTCAATCATTTAACGTTTATCATTTTTAGTGTAATTTACCGTTACTGCTAAAATTAATTATGGAAAATCTGGCCCTAAATAATAAAAAAACAGTAATTTATTGCCACAAGCAATGGCGTTCGTAACTTCAACCGGGAAAATTTACAGTTTATTCATAAAAAATAACTGTATACCTACTCTTAGAAACAACATTACGAAAAAATATTTCACAAACACATCTATTAAGTCAACGAAATAACAAACTAATCGATTCTACTACGAGTGTTTTCGTTTTCAAGAATATCAAATATTATTAAGTTTTACTTCTAACGGAACTATTAGTTTCTACTAGTTTGTATTATTAATATCCACTCATTAGAATTCATACAATGAACATCCATCACATGTCTCATTAGAGTGCTTTGGCAAGGTACGTTTGCCGTTCCGTATGTTAATCACTCCTTAAGTACTTGATAGTGTTAAGATGAAACCGATAAACCAACAAGAGTTGTTCCAAGAGAGCCAAAATGATTTATGAGAATATGTATTGCGACACATACAACTAATAAATGAGACCAAGTACCTGTAAGCGGTGACGCCGACGCCAGACAGACGACCAACGTCCACAAGCTCTTCATTATGTCCATAAAAAATCTCCTTAATTAGTCTTCGTTCGGATCATCTGTAACATAATTACAAGTGTTAACGAACTAGGAAATTACCAAAAATGTGTTGATGCCGGTATTGCATGTGTCGAAAGCCAAAAGTCGATGAACTCTCACTTTTAATCAGACAAAAAAATCCCAGTCTGAAAAACACTAGCGCTAGTTAGTGCAAGGATTAATATTCATCGACCTTCCAGCTAACTACCAACCTAATGAAACGATACATGTCGCAGAAGTTGACATAACGCGATTACTCTCGGATGGCTCATTTCTTAATTACGAAATCGCGAAGAGATTAGTTTATCTCGTTATTAAAAGCTGCCATCAGACCCTTAATGGAGAGTTTCCACGGAGTCACTTTGCTTTTATTTACAGTTTGCAGGGAACGGGTTTGACGTGATTAATTTCGGGCCCATGATTGTACGAAATCGACAATAGCGTTTTGGTCAACGGTTGTGTGTGGTAAACAAGCCATAATTTTTACTTTAACCTAAAATACGTTTGGTGAATTTTAAAAAGAGATTAAGATCGGCATTGGCCTTTCCAAGGACCGCTATTTGCAGACCTGACTTTAAATATTCAGATATGCGAAACTTTTTTATGGGAACAATTATATGGCACACCCCGGTAACTGTTGTTCTAGGATTTGCGTCATTGTGGATAGTTTTCCTAGTGCTGTACATTTTTAAGAAGTTACTAATTTTCCCTGGCAAGAATTCATTTCTCAGCGTAAAAATATAAACTGAAACAAGAATAAATCGTCGAAGAAAAATATGTGCAGTTTTGTGTTAGAGCCTTGATGTTTGAAATTATCATAAAAAACATCACAAATGACATTACAGACGTCCTAAGTTTGAAAGCTAAATTTATTAAAACTGTTATTTTTTATTATAACCATATTTTCTATGTACATTTAATCGTGCTTTTATTTAATTTCTACTATTTTTTTGGAATTTTACAAATTTATTTTGAAATTTTCTATATAAAATATTTGATACTTCAAGTATTATTCGTACTAAAATGCGCAATCTTTTTTTTACAAAAATCTAAAGAATAAAGTAGTAACCTTTAAAGGCAAAATTTATTTTCATTTCTGGTAAATGACACTGATACATTAAATTTTATATTTTTAAATAGATTGTGGTGTTTGTTTACTGTGCAGTTTGTACCCTATTTAACAGATAGTAGTTTTGAAGTAATATTTACTAATTAATATACGGGATAGTTAAAAAATGGCACACTAACTTAAGGGTACACAAGTCCAAGTTCGAGGAAAATTAACCGCTTTTGTCTGATATTATAAAATGAAGAAAACGATGAATACGGACAAAATACTTCCAAAATTATTCTAAACAGTGAAATTCCGACTGATTTTGTGTGCCCAACATTAAGTAATGAATCAAAATACAGTGAAATATGGAAAAGAAATTTTAAAATATTTTTTCTCTGCTAATCAATAAACAATGCTTAACAATGTGTCATAGCGCCATTTTTTGAGGACCGTGTATACTACATATTCAATTTTTTTATTACTTTAACAAATACTTAATACTCCTAATTGAAAACGATTAAATGTGTTCAATAATAATAATTCGGTCAGAATTTAGCTTTTTTGGAGATTATTATTATCAGAAATTTTGCGCTAAATTACCTCGTATACTTTAGGGTAATAAAATAGAAATTTAAAATTCTTGTCTTTTTGTAGGCTAAGAGAAACATGTCCTAAAAATGTATTCACTTTTCCAAAATACATTTTCGCATATATAAACAAATTATTATATATAGAAAATTACGTTTAGTGTGCAAATAATGTAAAAAAAATCTTCACATGTTGACATCCAGATTAAAAAAAAAATCAAAATTGAATATCTAACAACATTTCCCAATTTAACTTTGAAACTGCAATACCGAATGCTCTCAAATTTTGCAAACATTTTAAGGGTGTCGTAGGGATGGTATTAATAAAATTTGACAATTTTGTTCAATAAATGTTCTTTAAATTTTATATATGTAATTACATATTCCTATATGTGTAATTTATGAATCCGTGTTGAATTTTTAACACAAACTTCCAGATTTTTGGGAAAAAAATCTAAATTGTGTAACAACATTTTACAATTCTACTTTAAAATTGCAAAACCAAATGCTGTGAAACCTTGCCTTATTGGAAGTAAAATGTTAATCACAATTTGTCCGTTTATGCTTCCCGTAAAAAATGATCACGTCATCTAACAATTTTGCCAATTAAATGTTTTCAAAATTTCTGAGTGTTAACGCTAGATATCCATTTTTCTGTGGGGGAAAATAATTAAATGTGCTTAATTAATTAATTTGTCCTCTCCTAGTATTGAGGAGACAAAATTAATCAAATTTCATTTTCTTTAACACAAATGCTGATACTTGTAGTCTGGACGTGCTAATAATCGAATTATTTGGAAGTATAAACATAAGCAGTCAAACTGATAAATTGAGAATATCTACATTTTTTCCGTTGCATATCTGCTTTAAATATATCTTATATTGTCCGCACTAGTGCGGATCGCGCCTCCTTTGAATTTGCGCCTACGAGGCATTGGTTTTTATTTTACAAAGGCTATCACAAAACGAAAATCACAAAATCGAATTTTATAATTTTTCAAAGAAGCGAGTTTTGTCGCACTATACTTCAGTGGCGAGGAAAGTTCTTTCTAAATAGCCTTCGACTAATTTTTTAACTACATTGCAGGAGAGTCAACCATATAGATAGAAAAAAGTCTGAGACTCCAGCTGTACAGTTCTTTAAGGACCCTATACAAAATTATTTTCAGTTATACAGAGTGTTCTCTTTACTAAATTATTCCAATTTTCCTGAAATTTTTTAGAAATGGGAATGGGGGAAAGATTATTTTTAGAATCTGGATTATAATATTTTGTTGATAATGATAATTGCTTTATTGTGGTATAAATAAAATTGGATTTTAATATATAGTGTTGATAAAAAAATTAAATTCCAACAATTTTCAAATAATAGTTTTCCATGTTTGAGTTTTTTCACATTTACCACCTTGTATCTTATTGCTGTGTCTTATTCTGTTCTCTTTCTCTTTTGTTAAGTGGTTTCTAGAGATTTTTTACTTCTTACTTCTTTAAGAGACACAAAATCTTATGAAAAAACGAAAAAAAAGTTAGATGGAGTATTTTATATGAGTAAATTTTATTGTATATTAAAATTTAATGTCCTTGATATCATAACAAAGCGCGTACCTTTGTTTATTTCTCCATAAATTATTGCAACACAGATTTTAAAAATAACGTCATTGCGATTTTTTGTAAACCCTTGCTTTGCTAAAAAAAAAAATTAAAAAAACGCAATAATGTCGCAACATCACTTCGAAATGTCAAAAATAAGCTATCGTTATAAAGCCTAGCTAAAGGATGTTAAGAATACGTAAAAATTTATAGGACATTCCATTTACAAAGCTAAGTTGTGTGCTATGCCTCGAATACATAACACTCTGTATAGTTGTAAGTAATTTTAATATATGGTACTCAAAGAATCATACAAATTTAACGTATAATATTTAATGGAATACATATAGAGGATCGCACGCTTTGAGGTTCAGCCTGTATAACATGTTTTTTCACGAGGCGTAATCGAGTTAAAAATTAATAGAGAGCGTCAAAAGTGTTTCATGCTGCAGTTAAACAATATTTTGTTGTATATTTGCATGTTTTTTCCTCTTTACATAATACTAAACTCATTACTTTTCAATAAATTGCTTTTTTGCATATTTTGATTTTAAGCAAAAATCGTATTAAAAAGTATACCTATATTTTAAGCTTGATACAAAGAACTTTAAATGAAGAGTCGTCATAAAAAAGTAATTTTTTTGATAATCACACAACTGTATGTATTTTTTGGAAGTATTCAATTTTGCGCAGTTTAAAAAAAAATATTTTCAAAAAGCCTTCACAAAATATATATTTAATAAAGAATAATAATATTTAATAAAACAATAATAAGATACATTTCGCAGATTTGTAAAATTGCAGCATTAACTGTTAAAAATGTTATGTTATATCCTATATTCGGTTAACAGGTTGCAGTGTGGAATTTCTTCTTTATTTAAAATACAAAGTCGTGGCATTAATTACAAAAGTAAAAGTTTTTGCCGATAAGTAAATCGTGTAAATAATTAAATGGGTTTTTTGTAAAAATGATAAGATGTATTAAACTACCGTGGTAAATGAGAATCGAATTTTCCCATTAGAAATTCATTTAGTCATGTCTTAGTATCGACATAAGATAATAATTTATGATTCACCCTGAACTGAAAATAAAATCAATGAACTTCTATTTTTAGTACTCCTCTTCTCGCAACCTATAAATCTGGCAATAAATCATAACAAAAAGTCTCAATTTCCGCTTTGAATTTTTATTTCAAGTACGTTCAGCATAACGAAGTACAACCCCTAATTACACCTTATCTTTAAATCTAATAAATTCCATCTGACTCGATCTCATCGGCGCCCCAGGGACACAGTCGTCAAGGCTACACCAGCGAAAACAATTATTTAATTACCCAGCAAAAAATCAAAAACTAAGACTCACTTCTTAACAATGTTAATGGTACTGAGCCGGTTCGCATGCCCATATTTTTATTGGCCATAAAGAAGCCTCAATGTCGTAATAAAATATTCGTCGGCCAGTCGATTTTTCGTCTAATTGGCAAGACTGAATGAGCACCACCAAACAATACCAACTTACAAAGATTTAAGATCAAGTTTTTACCACCGAGCTGTTATACCAGTACCTCTGTAAAAATGCGTATATGGACAATTACGGCACGACAAAAAAAACTTTCTTTACGAAGCACGAAGCAAGGATCGGGTTTTCTAAATCCGCTTGTAAATCATCCGAGGATCGTTAATTGATATTTAGCACTTCGGCAAAAACTGGCTGGCGATAAAACCACCGTCTATTAATTTGAATACGGCGATTGACGAGGAGATTAGATAAGACGCAGTGAAAAACTTTACTTTATTGGACGAGTTCGCGGTTATACAATTTCGGGTTTATTTACTGAGGCGCCGGCCTTCGGATGCATTTTGAGTTCGTTTAACTCGAATGACTAACCAATTTAACGAATTGGGTGGAATTATTTAAATAAAACAGTGATTATTTATGCAATCTATAGGCGGTGAACTTGACTGCTACACCTGTAACGGTTGCGTCCTTGTCGTAGTTTCATAATAATGCTGATTTTATTAATAATAGCCCAAGTTCATTTTCTTGAACTTTGGGTTTTGTTTACGTTGGAGTTTTCGTGACAGAGTTGAAATTTGCAAGAGCGCTGGCGGCGAAAAATTATAAATGCAACCGAAATTTCTGCTTAAATTGGAATTGTGGGAGAAGCTTCCAGATGAGACTTTAATGAGAGGGCAGAACGGTAGAGTCCTGCGGCGTCATGGCAGATGTATTTTTTTTTATAACCTTATATAATATTATGTAATTTATTATTTCTATTATCTGTATATTTTTCTGTAAATTGAATAAAATAGGCTTTTATCTTTATTTTAATAGTTATTCAAGAAAATAATAACGGTATAGCGCGTTTGGAATGGCTTGTAATTTTTTAAACATGACCTAATTAAAGATTGCCGAATATCGCATATTTTGCCATAGATAATAGAAAATTAAAAAATATTCACTGAAGATTTTGTGTTTTTTATTTTTTGTAAAAAAATTTTAACGAATATTTTATCGTAGATTCTTGTAGTCAACTGTTAGCTATCGAAAGTATTTTTTTACATTTGATATCATGTAAATGCTACTACAAAATACAAAATACGTAATACAAAAATGCGGCTTTCCATCTCGATATCGTCTGTTAACTGGTTTGCTGATTATTTTATTAAACTGGTAATCCCCGAAACTAGCGAACCAATTACTTTGAAATTCTAAATAGGCTTAAATATTATCACCTTCATGATAAAACACGAAACAGTGTTGGCGTGTTGTTTTACCTAAAAAAGTTTTGCTAATTTTAGTTAAACAATTAACACTGATATAGCGATGACTACCCATTATCTATGTATTCAATCCTTCCAGAAAACTGTTGACGGCATCTTAAAAAAAATTCTTAGAATTTTTTTACTTGGCCTATTCAAAAAATATTCAAAAAAACGATTTATTTTATTGATTAACTCAAAAAGATTCATCTAAGGTTGTTTAAATTATCTTTTAGACTTACAAGGAACATTTCAAAATTAATAAAAAATTAAAATTGATGGCATATTGTCTCACATTTTTTATTTATTATACCTAATGAAATTTTGATATACACTAACAGTGATGTATATCGCAATAACGAAAATTGATGTATCTATTTGTTAATTTCTTCTAAAAAGTTGATGATGTTAAAACATATTTTCGTCAAAAAATGCACACTTACTTATGCTTGTCTATTTTTTTTTATCTGACTTTTTGCTGTATATATAGACAATATACTGTTTATATATACCGACTACGCATGTGTTTTGTTAAACCATACGTTGTATTAACTGACATTTGAGAGAGTTGTTGAAATTATTAATTAATTTTATTATATGAAAAAGTGAGGTTAAGTTGTAACATTCCGCATTGTTAACTACCATCGATTATATTTTAGGTTTATTGTGGACACATTGAACACATGATTTGATAGGCATAATACAAATATTAGGTACAAATTATAGAATAAATACTTAACTGAATTTCAATTTTTCAATTTTAAAACATAATTTATGTTACTTTGCCACGAAAAAAACATAGTAGAACAGTCAAGACTTTTTAAAATGTTTGTCTTTGCAATGGAAATAGAATTACTAACTAAATTTTGTAACAAGTAGTTAATAGTCGTTTGAAATTTAAATACTAGTGTCTAGTGTTATACAAAGTGAGTTAGCTGAAAGGGGACACCTCGCATTTTTTTATTTATGAACATATGCCAAAGGAATTTAGTTTATAAATCAAGACGAATAAGTTCTATGTATGCATCACTTCACTAACACGAAGGAATGGATGGAAAGCAAAATACTTAATCAAAAAATAAAACGCCTACATTTTTTTAAAATTAATCTGAATTTTTATTATACTATAAAATTCTGAAAAAAATACTCCGCAAAGTTCAATATTTATATTTTTAGTCAGAAAATTATTTTTTAAGAAAAATTACAATAATTTACGAATATTGAATGTGAAGCTAATAAAACTAATTTTTTACATTTTTTTTTAAATATATAAAAGTGATTTGAGGTTTCTCCTTTGGGTGACTCACTCTGTACCATAGAAGGGTGACTAGTTTTGTTGTGATACGTTTGCAGATTGCAGATATTATTTTTATTAATAAAATAAATAAATAAGAAAATAAATAAATAGATAAATAAATGAATAAATAAACTAATCCTTGATTCTTTCAAATAAACGACAAACAAATATTGTAAGAAAATAATCCTCGCTGAGAAACCTAAATAATAAAAAGAAAAATAAAAGAAAAATAGACAAAATAATAAATTCCAGACTCAACATCAGCAGCAAAAATGCAGATTTCAAAATTTTTCATTATTATTTTTATTTTTATTTATTTTTTTTTGTCAGCTAGAATGTGGTTTGAATAATTATGATAACACAATTATATTTTTTTTAGATTTGAAAGATTCGGTTATCCTGTTTTTTGAACACACTGTAAATTTTGAAATTGACTGCAATTGTTTCAGATTATTGCAAATCTTAAAGTTAATATTTAGAAAAAAATATGTTTCTATTTTAATGTCAGTGTATTGATTATATTTTTTGACACAAACATTTTATATATTTATAAAATTTATTGGTAAAAAAGTTTGAAAATAAAAAAATCTGAAGATCGTATTATTTGAAAATTTAAAAAAATATTAAAGTTGTTTTCAGTAAAAAATTGTTTTAATAAATGAAATTTTATCCAGGTTTATTATACAAATGCTGCTTTTCATTTTTATTTATAAAAATATATAACATGCATTAATACTTTTATCGAGTATGAATGCATGATTTAAATTTTAAATTAAAATTACTAGTGATTTTTATTAAAACAATAGGATAAAAACTCGACACTAAATTAATACAACATTCCGACAAGCAAACCTGAAAAAAAATTCGATTAACCTACGCCTAGCGCTTACCTCCTGAAAACTCGCGTTTTTCAGCCGAGCACTGTCCTGCACTAGCGTCGAAGTTTCTCGATGGCACTGAGTATCCTCTACTGGGTGATTGTGTGTAAATACAGCACGTGCTCCAGATTCCGCGAGTTTTAAGATGTCACAGCACGTTTAGTACTCGCTTATTTCAGGTGGTCGCAATACTTATAGGAGCCCCCTCCAGATTGCCCGTGTCAGTATTCGCATTTCTGAAGATGATCATCGAGATCTCTGTGAAAAAATGAAGACACAAAGCTGGATTTATCGCTTCTAAGGGCTTAATTCAATTAGGCTGATCTACTGTTTCCTATGCACAGATAAATTCAGATTATTGATTGCATAAAGATGCAATCAATTCAGTTTTGACATAACGACTTCCTTTAACATGCGGGATCGACTTCATTTATCAGTAATTGAAAAAAATGGCCTGGTGCATGACGGTGGCGTTTAAATCACCATTATTAAGATGCACAAAGTCGACGTCTAATGGTGAGAGCGAGTATTATGCGGTTAAACGCCGCTTAATGAGCGTTATTGAGTCTAATTTTATGATGAATGAGTGCGACAGGAGTCAGTAGTATATAATTCGAGAATACTTTTTAATTAACGTAGTAGTTGCTAATTGGAAGATTTATTTTTGTTATTTGAACTCAGATAATATACGAAACATATATAAATGATAATCGTTTGAAATCTAATAGGTACTATTTTTATTTTTAAAATAAATGATAATTAAAATATATAGCTGTAACAAATGCACAAATACATTTAAATTGTCGTCATATCAAAGTGGGCAATGACTTTTGCCGCCTTGTCGAAATAACATTTATAATTTCATTGTTAAACTGACGTTTCGTAGCATCGGTTGAGGCATGTTACTGCACGAGTGGGTGGTAGTGATAATTCATGTGACGATCATTTATTGACACTCTGTATAATGCAGTTAACCACATTTTTATGCTAATTTGTGGTTTTTGAATACCTACAACTAATAACTGTCTGTGCGTATGTGCAGATTACGGGAGAGATTCATCGTTACTTGAGAAATCACACTTTAAAAAGTTGAATTTTCGTAAAAGTAAGTGCTATGTCTAATTTAATTTAATTTAATTTTTCTGTGAATGGAATTAAGTATAATACCTTTTGTAAAATTTTCCGTTTTTTCTTTGTGCTAAGTAAGTTCATAATCATAAAATACTAATGCTTAGCTTGACAAAAAAAAAGCAGAAAATTGAACACAAAAATCATAAAGACTCTGAATACAAAAAACTACAACATTTTCAATAATTAAAATTGGATTTTAAGTAAATTAAATTAATTTCTGCATTGACTCTATAAGATCTGCAGTATTGGAGAAGAGTTTTGTTACTACACCTAGTTTATTTTCGTTTGTTAACATTTCAGTTCAACTCAAACTATGGCACTTTACGAACAACTTAAAAAGAGCATATTTTATAACATCAACACCATTATTACAATTTATTTTTGCTAAAGAGTGAGTAATTTTTGTAGAAAATCATAGAAGAGTACTAGTTCTTCAGGTAAAAGAAAAATTTGTGTATTTCAATTGTTTCACTTCTCAACGACGACAGGTAATATGAGCACATTTTTCAATAAAAATTATGGTTTTTGATATATTCTTTGATAAAAATCAGGTCGTTACTTCTGATATAGAAAATGTAATACTATTCATAACGGTAATAGGCAGAAGATTTTTTTGTGGTAAAAATTAAATAAACCAGTTCGTTTATTAATTCTTTACAGATATCGTCTTAACATTACACATTTACAAATCTGGCCTAAAGTTATTTAGAGAAAACTTCCCTGGCGCATCTGGTTCCTGAGAAATAAATTACAAAATTTGATTTTGTGATTTTTTTCTAGTGAGTTTTTCGTAATAAAATTTTGACAAGGATACATATCCCTTTCACTAGGTATAGTGCAATACTAATAGCTATATAATACTGTATTTCTCATTTTGATTCAATCAATAAAATAAACTGATTCCTATAGTAAGTCTTTTGAGTCACCATGTATAAACAGCAATTCTGAAAAATATCATTGCCTTGATAAACCACAAATGTAGAATCATCATAATATATTGCACATTTCAGAAAGGATTTTTCTAGCAAAATTTTGAGATGACGTCAAGTTTTTGGAAGGAATAAACATATTAACCATTTATTATGATCATCATAAACTTAAAGGTTTCACAACAGTTTCTAAATTAAATTGGAAAATAAAATTTTAATTTCTCTCAAAATTTTTGATGTCAAAGCGGATTCGTAAAAGGTATAGAAGTATGTTATGTAATAAAATTTAATAGCATTTAGTTTAAAATTGAAAAAATTAAAACAATTTTGAGGTTCTAGGTATTCCTGTTTGGAAAATATTTGAAAGTGCTTTGGAGCCTCTAGTATCTTTTCTCAAGTTCTTATAATAATTGAATTAAATTTCTTAGAGAATATGTCATTTGTCAAAATCAGTCTTAACAGGTACCTTATCCCTCTTATCTTAGCAGGTACTAGCCCCGCCCACCCACCCTCTCTTTTCGTGGAACGTATGTCATTTGCCAAAATCGGTCTTATTTTAGCAGGTACACTATCCAATGACGTCATAAAATCAGGACGATCAGACAAACTTTGGTTAGCGTTTTACCATCTACACCATATACCTAAAATGGATTTAAAATTTCATCGGTCCAAAAAAGTTTCGAAAATTTGTAATATAATAACAACTACAAATTACAGGTAGAAAAACAATCAGATAAACAATCAGACAAACAGACGGACAAGTAGATTGAAATGGAAGACCTATTGTTGCAGACTCTTAGGGAAACATGAAATTAGCCTTTCATTGGATCTATACTATTTAGTATAGATAATGTCCAAAAGTACTGCATTGTCATGTCTATCTGTCACCTGTCGTCTGTCTGTCTGTCTGTCTACTTGTGTCTATTTTTATCTCCGAAACTGGTGGAGCAATTGTTGTCAAATTTTATATATACATATTGAAAAAATATCATGTAGATGGTAAAACACTAACCAAAATTTGTCTGAACGTACCTAATGATCACGTCACTTCAAACTTTTAAGAAGTAAACCTATTTAAATTTTATAAAGTAAACTCCTACTATTCTTGTAGTTTGTTAATACGCTATTATATTTTACTTAGACAACTGGGTTTTCGAAAAAAAGAACATACTGTGTAACATTTTACAGTTTCACTTAGAAACTACAAAACTGATGATTTGATATCTCGGAAATATTTTAAGGCTATCATAAGCATCAGAAATTGTTAATCAAAATATATTTGTTCATGTTTTCAAAAATATTGATGACAACGTTTCCTATCTAAAATCATATCTAATATGCATAACATGATGAGTGTGGTTTATCAGTTCAATCATATCTTTTAAAATTGCTTACACAGGTGTATCGAAAAAAAATGAAGACATTTATTTTATTAATTAAATTAAAAGCTATTGTTGAAATGTTGGGGACGTCGTCACAAAATTTTATTATGAAAAACTCACTTGAAATGTATGTATCGCATGCTTCTTTAACTCGAGTTCAACAATTTAAACATTATTGATTTACAAAAATATTTTTTTTTAAATCAAAGTTTATGATTTATCTAAAACACTGGATTTACCTGATTGTACTCCAGGAACCAAGAGTGTTCTGTCTAAATAACATTAGACTAATTATTTATATATTCTATTTATTTAGTAAACTTTTAGATGCCATCATCGTTATGAAGTGGGTCAACAAAAAAGAAAAAATCCACTATAAACTGTAAAAAAAAACAAATTGTAAAATTCAACTACACAAATTTTATTTCTTTACAGTAGCCCATTAAAAATGTTAGTGGATTATGAAATCGCAGAAAAAAAAACAGTTTGAGTTGAGGTGTGAACTTTTCAGAGTTATTAGAGTACAGATAATTTTTGTTACTATTTTAGCATCTACAACTCTCTACTTTTGTAAACTATATGTTTAATTAAATTGTCAGGTACTAAAAATCAAAATATTTATTTCAATGTTTTCAGTTATTTTTAAAGTAAAAGCGCACCTGTTTCATAAAAAAGTTATCTTTCACCTTGTTCTTCTAGTATTTTCTGGAGACATTCACTTTTTTTTAATTGCTTGTGTTTCTTGTAACATATCTTCTTTATTTTTCAAAACCATGCACATTATATTTTCGGATTATATTTTCAAACATTACTTGCAATTATGTGTATTGTATGTAAACGGAAAATATGTTGTAAAAATTAAATGAATATGTATATATTCCTTAGCCATAGAAAATATTTGCCGATCTTCAAACTTCAACAATGCAAGGTTTTGATCGCAATGTGCACAGTATTTTTTGCACAATCGTGCTTTTAAATTGACTACAGTAAAGTAAAAGTATCTGCTTAGTCACTACTCATACCATGGTGTGAGTGTTAAAAATATGTGAATAAAAAGCAGTAAACAATAAAGTGGAAAAAATAAAAGCATTATTACTTCCCGAGATTCTCGAACGGATCGTAATAAGCTTCATCCAGCGAATGGCTAAATTTTAGCTATAAGTATAGAACAGCACAATCTTCTCTATTACTTCAAAATTTGTTTAAAATCACTTTAAATGAACGATTCTTTTTATATAATTAGAAAATCAGTGCGGTAATCTAACATTACTTCATTGGGTAGGAAAATTTAAATTTATCTCACTGTCGTAGATAATCGTTATTTATAATATAAGTGAGATATAAGTATTATTATGTGTGAAGTTTATTCGCAGTGGGAGCCACCCGAGTACGAAAATAGAACGTTAGCTCACCTGTACCGTACAAAATTTTATCCACGACCTAAAATAATTTTGTGTACAGTTAATTGCTATGCATGGAGCTCCACAAAATATTACTCTGCAGATTGCTTGTTGAAAAACTTTGAGTCCGTAAATGATGAATGCAAACCTAACTCTTCAAACCGGTCGTGCAAAAATACACTTCATCATAATGAAAAAAGCTTCACTTCCTGTCAGTGTTTAACATAAGTATGGTGTGTCAGTCTGGTTACGTAAATAAATCAAATAGCAAAAACATTAGGGAGGCTGAGGAAAGTTGTTTTCGTA